ACATTGTCATTCCTCAAGTCCTGAGACATTACCCAGTCTGCCTTTTCCCTTCCAGCTTGCAGAGTCCTTTTATCATTATCTGTTTAATAAATTTCTGTGTTAGTACATTTAGAGAGGAGGAGCAGGGAAGAGTGAATCTATAGCATCTTGCTCTGGAACTAAAATTCCAGAAAGCAATATAATTTTGACTTCACAATCAGGTCTTTAATCCACCTGAAAATTGATTTTAGTGTATGATGTGAGATAGAAATCTAATTTCGCTTTTTTCTCCATATATATTCAATTGTCTTGGCACCATTTTTGAGAAGTCTGTCTTTTATCAAGTACCTGCAGTGCTCACCTCTGTGCTGTACAAGAGTCTATTGCTTGGCTTGCTATTCTAGGTAATTGCTCTATTTGACTATCCCCACACCAATACATACTGACTTGATTATCATATCTTTATAATATAAAGTCTTGATACACAGTGGTACAAATATTCACATAAATGTTTTTTATACTTGTTTTGTGTGCAGAAAACTTGTTAAAACTCTTTACTAAATTTTAAAATATATCCATGGAATCTTTTTAGATTTTCTGTAATGCAAATTGATTATGTCATAATGTCCACAGTTATATAATTTTTTAAGTCATGACTTTTTCCCCTCTTTTCAATCACTTTTAGGGAGTGGAGAAGAGCGGATTTTTTTCTGTGATGGCAAAAACCTCTACTACAATGTTGAGTCGATGAAAATGAGGGTAGTGCAATTATTTGTGTTGTTCCTGCTTTCTAAAGAAAAGCCGGCTGGGCATGATGGCTCACACTTCGTACTTCCAGCCCTTTGGGAGGCAGCAGTCAGAGGACTGCTTAAGCCCAGAAGTTCAAAACCAATCTGGGTATCATAGAGAGACCCCATCTTTACAAAGTATTTTTTTAAAGTTAGCTGAGTGTGGTGGTGCACTTTTGAAGTCCCAGCTACAGCGGGGCTAAGGTGGGAGGATCTCTTGAGCCTGGGAGGTCGAGGCTGCAGTTAGCCATGATCATGCCATTGTACTCCAGACTGGGTGACAGAGTGAGACCTTTTTTCAAAAAAAGGAAAAGCCTCTAGAGCTTCATCATTAAGTACGATGCTTGCTATAGGTTTTAGCAAATCTATTGCATAAACTAAAGAGGTTTCCACCTATTCCTAATTTGCCATATTTTTTTAGCATCAATAGTAAATTTTATTTAAAAAAAAAAGCTTAGAAAACACATGCTATGCTAATCCTAGTCAAAAGAAAGCTGGAGTGCTTATATTAATACTAAAAAATAGTAGGTATAATAACAAAGAATAATACTATGGATAAAGATCATTATGTTATAATGATTAAGGAGTCAATTTATTAATAGGATATAACAATCCTAAACATATATGCACCTAATGATAGAGCTTCAAAATACATGAAGCAAAAATAGACAGAGCTGAGATGAGGAATAAGCAAATCCACAAGCATAGTTGTTTTCAATGCTCTTCTCTTAATAATTACAAAACAAGTGCTAATAACATAAAGTTAGCAATGATACAGAAGACTTGAATAACATTATCAAAAAATTTGACTTAACTGACATCTATAGGATATTCTACCCAACAACGGCAGAATAGACGTTCTTTCCAGAGGCGTATAGAACATTTATTAAAATAGATAATATCCTGGGCTATAAAATGAGTCCCAACAAAGTTAAAGGAATTCAAATCATAAAAGGTATGTTTTCTATCCAAAATGGAAGTCAACTAGAAATTAATAACAGAAAAATATCTGTGAAATTCTCAAATATTAGGAAAGTAACATAACTCTAAATATCCTGAGTCAAAGAACAAACCAAAAGAGAAAAACAACAGTATTTTGAACTAAATGAAAATTAAAATGCAACAGACCAACATGTGTTGGACACTACTAAAGCAGGACTTAGCATTAAATTTATACCACTAAGTGCCTATTCTAGAAAAGAAGAAAGATTTTAAATCTATGACCTCATCTTCTACCTTAAGAAACTGGGGGAAAAAAAAGTAGAAAAGAGGAATTAAAATCAAATGAAAATAGTGGAAATAAATGTAATACAAAATAATTTAAAAATAAAAATTAACAGTGTCTTTAATATGTGTGTATATATGAATAATTGGTAATAATATTATTTAATAATATTAAAATCAATAAGAGCAAGCTGATCAGATAAAAACAGAACAAAGCAAAGCAAAAATAGAGAAGACACGAGCTACCAATATCAGTCATTAAAAAGTGACATCACTACAGAGTCTACAGATTTAGAAAAATAATAGTGGACCATTATAACTCTATGATAATAAATTCGATAGCTTAGTGAAAATGCAACATTTCCTAACAGTCACAAACTACCAAAGCTTATTCAAGAAAAAAATAACCTGAATAGCTCTGTATCTGTTAAAAAAAAATTAAGCTTATAAATAAAAGTCTTCCAACAGAGAAAATTCCTGGCTCAAATGGCTTCTTTTGTGGGTCCTGCTTAACATTAAAGAAGACATAAGACAAATTCTACCCAAACTTTTCCAGAAAATTGAAAAAGAAGGAATACCTCCCAACTCATTCTACAAATCCAACAGTACCATAATACCAAATCTAGGCAAAAACATTAAGAAAGAGAAACTACAGAATAATATGTGTCATAAACATAGATGCCACAACTATAAACAACATTTTAACAAATAAAATAAACAATAATACATCTGGGCCAAATAGAATTTTTTCCATGAATGCAAAGTTGATCTAACATTTTTAAATGCACCAATATCATTTACCGTATCAACAAACCAAAGCAGAAAAACTATATAATTATCCCAATAGGTGAATAAAAAAGCATTTGACAAAAATTTAACATATATTTCTGACTTTTTTAATAAAAACTTCTCAGCAAATTCTTAATTAGAAGGTAGTTTCCCCAACCAGATAAAGAGCATCAACAAAAGCCTCCAGTCAAAACCAGAATAATGAAAAGACTGAATTTCTCCCTCTACAATCAGGAAAGATACAAGGATGTTCATTCTCCCACTTCTGTTCAATAGCGTATTGAAATTTCCAGCCAGTGAAATAGGACAAGAAAAGCAAATAAAATGCACCCAGTTTGCTAAAGAAGTAGAACTATCTGTTCACATACAATATGATTGTTTATGTAGAAAATTGGGTATAATCTGTAAAAAAAAATTATACAGAAAATAAGAAGTGACTTTAGTGAGACTGCAAGTTGCAAGCCCAATGTGCAAAATTTAATTGTATTTCTATATACTAACCATAAACAATCAGAAACATACACACACACACACACACACACACACACACACTCTAAATGGCAAGAAATATGAAATAGGAATAAAACTGACAAAAGATATGCAAATCTGCCACTGAAAACTACAATACATTGTCAAAATAAATTAAAGAAGATTTTAAATAAATGGAAAGATGTACCTTGTGCATGGATTCAACAGATCTATGTTGTTTAAACTGCCAATTATCATCGGATAGATTCAACACAATTCTTATTTAAAATCCTGAAAGGTATTTTTTTTTTTTGTACATACAGATGAGCTGATTGTAAAGGTCACATGGAAATATAAAGAATGCAGAATAACCAAAATAAATTTTTAAAAGAAGAGAAAAATTGGAAAGCTAATAATAGCTGCTTCAAAATTCAGTATAAAGCTACAGTAAACAAGATAGTGTGGTACTGGCATCAGCAGAGATGGATAGATCAAATAGATCAGTGGAACATAATAGAGTCTAAAAATCTCTCACATATGTAAAACTGGATTTTTTGACAAAGGTGCAAAGACGATTTGGTGGAGGAAGCATACCCTTGTCTTTATGCTGGAACAATTGGATATTCATATGCAAAAAAATGAATTTCAATTCATATGGAAAAAAACTCAAAATGAATTTTAGAACTAAATGTAAAACCTAAAATTCTACAAAATATAGTAGAAAATTTACTTTATTGGATGATATTGTTTTTATTGTTTTGGACTAGATCATATTTATTAGTAATCATCTTTAATTTCTCCCTTCTTCCCTATAGCTCAAGAGCTGAAAACTACACTTCTTAGACTTTTTGACACCAGTTTTTGAAATGCAATTTATGTTCTGCTGATGAAATATACTCATGTATGGTTTGGAAAGCAGAGGAGGAAATGACCCTTTTTCCTTGACAGGGGTGACAGCTGATGTGTGGATTGTGGAAGACACGAATGTTTGCAGTAGTTGAAAACTGCATTCCATTGCCAGTCATCAGCTTCAATATATGAAAAACTAATATCATCATGTATCTTTTTGCAGTTTGCTTTTTTCTGGGTAGCAATGGCAGCCTCTTGACCTCTGGATTGTGTTGTAGTGATGCAGCTAAAAGCCTGGAAGTGGCCAGGTGCGGTGGCTTACACCTGTAATCCCAGCACTTTGGAAGGTCAAGGCAGGTGGATCATGAGGTCAAAAGATCAAAACCATCCTGGCCAACATGGTGAAACCCCGACTCTACTAAAAATACAAAAATTAGCTGGGTATGGTGGCATGCACCTGTAGGCCCAGCTACTCTGGAGGCTGGGGCAGGAGAATTGCTTGAACCTGGGAGGTGGAGATTGCAGTGAGCTGAGATCGTGCCACTGCACTCCAGCCACGTGCCTGGTGACAAAGCAAGACTCTGTCTCAAAAAAAAAGCCTAGAAGCAGCCCTCTAACTTTTGTACTGCCAGTTTCCCAATGATTTTGCAACCTCCTAACTCCCAATATAAAATTATTTTCTTCTTGAAGTACTTTTCTGTTTCTCTGCACTAATTCATGACCAATACCGTCTTAAAAAGAAGAAACTGTATGCTTATATTATCTAGTCAAATATATTACCTTCTTATCAGATAATATAGGGACCCTACCACCCTTTAGCTCCATTAATTATGCTTTTAAATATAAGCCATGGGACCTTATTGTTATTTTTTGTATATTCAATGTTCATTTGGATTTACTCACTTATTTATAACTGAAAGATTGTCTTTTTCTTGATTCCTTTTTGTATTTCAACTCTTCCATCTGTAATTTTCTTTCTTCCTGAAATACATAATTTAGAATTTTGACAAACTCTGTTTTACTTACATAAAAAAGTATTTTGTTCTCATATTGAAAGATATTTTTTCCTGGGTATAGAATATTCATCAGCTATTAACTTTTGTAAATATATTGAAGATATTATTCCCTTGCTTTCTGACTTCCATTATGATTATTGAGAAGTCAGCAGTTAGTCTAGCTCATTCATTTGAAGACAATCTGTTTGTCTCTTATGACTACTACTAGGATTTATTCTGGCCAGGTTCAGTGGCTTATGCCTGTAATCCCAGCACTTTGGGAGCCTGAGGTGGGTGGATCACGTGAGCTCAGGAGTTTGAGACCAGCCTGGCCAACCTGATGAAACCCCGCTTCTACTAAAAATACAAAAATTAGCTGAGTGTGGTGGCACATATTTGTAATTTCAGCTACTTACAAATTAATTAGGGAGGCTGAGGCAGGAGAATCACTTGAACCCAGGAGGCAGAGGTTTCAGTGAGCTAAGATCTTGCCATTGCACTGCAGTCTGGGCAGCAAGAGCAAAACTCCATCTAAAAAAAAAAATCTTCTTTGTTTGGGGTATTCTCTGTTCTCACTATTATGTTTCAATGGGTCTTCTTTATGCGGATTGAGATTTTTAAGGCTTCTTGAATCTATGGTTTCACATCATTCATTGTTCCTGAGAAATTCTTACCCCCTATTTTTTCAAATATTGCTTCTTCCCTATCTCTCTCTCCTTTCCTGGGAATTTGATTAAACACATGCTAGTCTTTCTCACTATATCTAGCATACCACTTAACTAATGCATTTATTTGCCTGTCTCTTTATGATATATGTAGACTAATTTTTTCTATCATATCTTCCAGTTTACTAATTCTTTCCTTAGCTGTGTTTAATCTGCAGGTTAAATTCATTGTTTTGTTTCTGTTTTTTTTTTTAATTTTAGTAATTGAAGTTTTATTTTCAGAAGTTCTATTTTAAAAAACTCTACTGTGTCAATCTTTATAGTTTCCTGCTCGTACAAATATATTCACATTTTTAAAAATTTCAATCATGGTGTAAGGAATGCTTTGCTGCACTTTGCATCCCCCTTTCAGGAAGAAGGGATTTATTTACTCAGTTGATGGAAATGTTATAGTTTGACATTATCCTTGAAACTAAAATCATTGGCCAATTTGATTTCTGGTACTGTATGTCCATGATGACTTCAAAGTTTAAAATTCCCTAAATTGGCCAATGTTGTTGGGCAAAATAAGGTCTTCTGGGCTGCTTTTACCTCTCATATGTTTCCTTAAACAACTTTCCTGCTAAATTCATACTATCTTATTATCCACTTGATACTTTTAAAAGGACTTGTCATTTTTTCTCGATGAGTAATCAGGTCCAAATAACCCATATTTCATTGCATGAAATATACAAGAGTAGCAGAAAAAGGACTCCAACAGCTAGACTCTAGCAGTGGCTACTGATTTGCTTTGTTCAAGAAGACTGAAAGTTTGCTTCTGGCTTAGAAGAAAAGAATGCCAGAATGAATGGATGATGCTGTCATGGTCACAGGAGGTGATATGCCACAAGAGGTGCAATCCTGCGACCAAATCATTTAAAAATCTTTTCTCATTCTGTGGGCCCCTAAATTTATAAATATAAAGAGTCATTTATTCCTGAAACGTTAACCAGTCCCCTCACTTTACAAACTGCTCAGCCTGAGTTTAAGGCTCTCTATGCTCTTTTCTCAACCTCTCTTTCCAGATTCTCTCACCACTGCACAATATGAACTAAAAGCCACAGCCAAGCAGACTCCACCTTCCCCCTAAACATCCTCTAACATTTTCGTCTCCAGCAACTTGACCCAGGGTATCACTGTTTGGAATACTTGCTCTTCGTTTATACATTCAGAAATTCTAGACATTCTTCCAACCTAGCTCCAGTGCCAACTCCTCATAAGGCTTTCTTTGTGTCTCTGTTGGATTGTTCCTTCCCTTGGTCTCTCAGAGCATCACAAGCCTTTCCAGCAAATTTTGCCTTTCTCTCTTTTTCTCCCCGCCCCCATACTATTCAGGCCTTTGTTTAATCTCTTGTCCTATCCTGTTAGGTGCAAGAGGCTCAGGCAGGGATTGACTGATCTTTATAGTTAACATAGTTTGATACTCAATATATGTTCCCTTCTAAAGGAGAAATCTCTGATGAATGGAAAAGGTCATATTCCTCAGTGTTATTTGTCCTTCAGACCTTGGCTGTAGGGGCTCCTCAGATTACGAGAGCTAACCATACATCCTCTAGCTGCAACCACCCTCTCCCTCTCCAGGGTACTGGAACAGCTGTTCAAAGGGCACCATACTGAAGCATAGAAGGCAGGACCAGAGCTACACACCTGTTTTTGGAGGTTAAGACTTGTAGGCAGGAGCAGGGCATGCCTGGGTTGCTGCTGCCCACCAGTAGCAGAGCTGGCCAGGCCAAGCATAGTTGAGCATTTAAAATACATTAAAGGCCGGCTCCCTTTGAAGTTGGAAACTATCTCTATTTAATCAGAGAGAAACAACTTTTCAAAAGATTTTTTCCCCTCTTTTTTACCTTCAGCTTGCTGGCTTCTCCTGTGGTTAGTAGCATGAATAAAACATGCATATCCCAATTAAATCTTGATTTAATTTCACTTCTTTGCAAAGCTGATGAACTCGAGTGCTTTCATAAAGACACTGAGCATTAGCATTCTTTTGTTATGCACAATCCATTCGGAGGAACAAGGGGCTAAAAATATTCAGCTGCCTCTCCCCTGGCCTTGCCAAGCTCTCCACGAGTTAAGGAGAAAGGAAAACACACAGGCACACTCACATTTCCAGCCAGGCTAATCCTCCCCGTGGACACCCCCTGGTAATTGTAGGGAATGAGAGCTCGTTTGACCATGAGTAACATCTTAGAGTTGGAAGGCAAACAGCATTGCAAAAAGGACACCTTCTTGGGTGATTCTTTGGTGCTGTACCTGAAATAGTCAGTAGCCCATAGCAATTTAAGAGCCCGTTCCTTTCCCTACACCAGAGGAGGCACCAGCAGCAGGAAGAAGCTCTGGACCCAGCTGCGCATCCCAGAGGGCTGACTGAGCTTCTTATCATTTGCTTCTGAATCTGAAAAATACAAACTTCCCCTGAAGTTCATGCTTATCACTTCAAAAAATACATACTGTATTCATTGAAGACTAAAAAGAAGTGCATGAATGTATTTATCTGTAGTTATTCCTGGATGATGGGATTATGGATGATCTTCCTGTCATGTCTGACACTTTGTGGCACTTTATGAACTCTCTTTAATAAGAATAAAGAAATTCTACAATCAGAAAAAGTTGTTTTAGAAAGATACATTTATTGACACCTTTCTACTACATACAGGGGGGAAATTATCTAAGTTATGCTCTCTAACTTCAGAGAGGTTTTTTTCTTTCTTTTTTTGAGGTAGAATATCACTCTGTCTCTCAGGCTGGAGTGCAGTGGCACGATCTCAGCTTACTGTAGCCTCTACCTCCTGGGTTCATGAGATTCCCCTGCCTCAGCCTCCCAGGAGGCTAGGACTACCACCACGCCCAGCTAATTTTTGAGTTTTTTTTTTTTTTTTTAATTAGAGATGGGGTTTCACTATGTTGGCCAGGCTGGTCTTGAACTCCTGAGCTCAAGTGACCTGCCCGCCTCAGCCTTCCAAAGTGCTGGGATTATAGGCATGAGCCACTGTGCCCAGCCCTTCATAGAGTTTGTAGTCTACATAGGATAACTAATAATAAGGACTAAATATAGATATTCCAGTTCTAAGTTGTCCAGAGAAATAAATATTTCTGAAGGTAGTGGTGATAAAGAAGACATTCCAGAGGAGGTGAGACTAGAAAAGCTTGAATCTCAAAGTTTGAGAGACGTTAGGAGTGATTTAGACCAACTCTACATTTGGAGCTTACATCTCCTCTTCATCAGCCTTATAGCACGACATAGCATGACACCCTGGTTGAACATAGCCAGTCTCTGACCAGAAACTTGATACTGTTTAAGTTAGTCTTTTCTGAAACATTGGAGTTTTTCTCACTACTTGGAGGTTCTTTCTATTTTTATTTTATTTATTTATGCTTAAGGACAGGGTCTGGCTCTGTCTCCCAGGCTGGAGTATAATGGTATGATCATAGCCCACTGTAGCCTCAACCTCCAGGGCTCAATATATCCTCCTGCCTCAGCCTCCCAAGTAGCTGGGACTATAAGCACACACCACCATGCCCAGCTAAATTTTTAAATATTTTTGATAGAGATGGGATCTCACTATGTTGCCCAGGCCTACTCAGAGGTTCTTTCTCACATTGATCTGAGCTCTGTTTCCCTGGTAGCTCTGGTTGCCTTCCTGGAGCCATATACACTCTGCTGCTCCTCCCACCCTGATGATCCTTCATATTTAAAGTCAGGTTTAACACCTTTTTTCTCTCTTGTATTTCTTTTTACTATGGTTTTTTTTTTTCAAGCATACCTCAAATGTCATAACTTCCAACTGACAAAGGCTTTGAAGGGTGGATAAAACTTACACCAAATGGAAGAAATGGAATGGGAATTCTCAATAGGGAAAATGATATAAGCAAGACATGGATTTTGAAAGAGGCCAGCTGTGTGGACTGGCCCATGAGGAAACCAGTCCAGCTGCAGCTGCATTGCCCTGGGGACTGGTGGGAGATGTAGGTGGAGCAGGAGGAGGGAGGCCACCTGGGGAAATACAGCTGAATCTGATGGTCTCTCCACACACCACATCCTCAGGAGTCTCTTTCACTCCAAGAGGAGCCTGGTCTGCAATTCAGGAGGCCTCCTGGTAGCCAGTTGCTACTGCTTCATTGAGCCCAGGTCCTTGTGGACCCTGTGGGGGATAGCCAGGGGCACAGGGACAATGAGAAGGGGCTTGTGCTTAGTCACTGCAGGTCTTTCCCTCAGTTGCCACCTTTGCCTATGATCTGACCAGTAGGCAATACACAGCCAGCCTGTGGAGGACGAATGTGA